AATGATCTTATAGGACTCTCTCTCACCATGTAGGACCTCAAAGGATCATCATTAAAGTCGGTACGGATCTCTAGAAAAGTTATCACATGGGTGTGGGATTTGAGTTTTCTATAAATCAGTGCCAAATTTAATGGTGATCCTTTGGGTCCTACACATATGGCTGGGGAAGAGTCCTATAGGATCATTTCTTATATATATATATATATGGTCAAATCCGGATCGGTTCCACCTGTGTCTAGATCCAATCCTAATCACTACTTGGATCTAGATCCGACCCGTTGGATCCATATACAAATCTATATAGGATTTAAATTCAGATTTCGGATCCAAACCGGAAAATTTCTTAGCCCTATATCTGAGGTGGTGGATGTAATGGTGTGCTGGTAAATGGGGCTGCTAAATTTTTGCATAAAACGGGGGTTAGATAATAGCTTCATTTCGGTGAGATTAGGACTTAATTCATAAAAATAATCCGTGAAACAGAAATAGGAGAAATAGTAACTATTATCATGATATTGTAATGACAACCATTAATTTGAGAGAAACTTCTCTATTTGAAAATAAACTTTTGTCTGTGATTTTCTTCTTTTTTTAATATTTTCCTTTTGTCATTATTTTCACTTTTTCCTCTTTCTTTTTTTTTTTTTTTTATCTTTTTTACCCCATTTTTGTCCAAGTTTCTACTTAAACACCGATTTTCCCGATGCAATGGAAATGGACGAGCCTCGTTCTGTTATGTTATACCCGTTTTTAGATCATATGAGCCAAATACCCTCCTTTGAAAAAAAGTTTATATAGGTACAAGCTCTAAACAATCAAATTAGGGCACACCTTAAAAATTTCACTAGAAGAGGTTGTTTTGATGTCCAAATATCCTCAAATTGATCATCTGGACTTCAAAATGCATGGACATAGAAAAAAATGGATTTCATGTTTTGGAAATAGTGCATCTTGTAATGTATTTTTGGACTGTCAATTTTCAAGATTTTAAAAAAAAGAAAATTTACTTACCTAAATTTTCTTTTCAAGATTTTCCAAGTTTTCATAGATCTGCTCAATCTACAGTTTTTTAAGCTTTAACTTTTATATTTAGAGATAAAAATAAATTTTAAAGCTATCACAAAGAATTCCAGTTTTGAAACCACATTTCTCGATACTATTTTACTTTGATTGTTTAGAGCCTCGGTTTTATACAACTGTACCCAAATTAAAAATGGTTAATTGGTTAATGCATGTAAATTGACTAAAATGCCACTAATACAAGGATAAGGTGATGAATACACAAACTTATAAGCTGGATATACTATTCTTTTTATAAAGGTCACAAATGGAGAAGTATTTTTAGAGATCAGAAACAAAATCAGGTAATAGGAATTGGGTAGTTGACTAGGGCTTAGAGTCCATAATTTTTCTCGAATTTATTTTTTTTGACAAAAAACAAGAAAAAAGTTTCTTACACAGACTTATCCGTGCAATATCATATCAAGATAATAACAATGATTGTGACTTACTTATATTGAATGTAAATAGTCTTATAATATGCAATCTTCCTTGTTACACTAAAATAGTTTTTTGGAAGGTAATGAAAATACAAGTTACAACTTTAAAAAATAAATAAATACAGGAAAAAGTTTATAGAAGGGTCAATCTTATATTGTAGAGTTAGGATGCATCCCAACAACCACATACAATTGATTATCTTAGACCTCGAGGTTTATAGAATATGAAAAAGAAAATTTTCTAAAGAATATGAAAAGTAAAAAATTCTAAGTCATAAAAATAGTCCTATACTATTTTCAAAATATTTAAGTGTTTATAGATCTGCTTGATTTATACTATTTTTGAAATTTTAAATTTTATAATTAGGGACGAAAATAAATTTTGTGGCCAAACCACACCCAATAATAAATACAACCAGCCACTATAGAACTTCCTATGAGTGAGCCTTATAATAAAAAGGGGTGGGCTCTTTTATAATGAAAATCTGGGTAATTTTTTTTCTTTTTCCAAAAGCTACCACTATAAAGCTTACTATAAGGCAAGCCCGTGGGCCCTTCCCATTTGGTTTGCATATAAGTCTGTAACATAGACATGCTTCTCATGTAATCGAAGGCATACATCCACGTATAAATATACACTGAGACGGGAATTGTGTAAATTATAAAATTATTTATATTTAATATAGGAAGGTGATAATCACTATCATAATTTATATTTGATTTAAGAAAGTCATAATGACTTTTAGTTGTCAAATATGAAATTTGATAGTTTAAAATTTATCAAATTTTAAAAAATAAAAAGTGAAACTTTGAGTCCAATCAAAAGCTACTCGATTTTGTATCTAATGGTTGAAAATATTTTACGGCCTCCTCGCATGAAAAGTAACGATCTTATTGTATGTTTTCTCTTGTAAAGGTATACGTGCATGTGTGGGTGTGGGCGTGAGCTCAGAGTTTTCTATCATATTTTGGAGAGGGGAGAGAGAGAGAGAGGCCTTAGAAAAGGAGAAAGGAAGAGGGGCGAGAGGGTTAAAATTAGGAGTGAGAATTGGGTTCATTCAACTTGACCCGACAGGTTGATCCATTCGGGTCCCGGTCTAGACCAAGATTTTAGACCAAACATGTTAGACCTGGGTCTGTTTAATGTTGACCCAAGACAGAGAGCTCTTAAAAAAAAGGAGAAAGGAAGAGGATTAAAATTAGGAGTGAGAATTGGGTGGGTTCAACCTGTGATCCAAGAGGTTGATCCTACCGGTTCCTGGTTTGGACCTAGATTTTGGACTAGGCGGGTCAGCTCTAGGTCCATTTGATATTTACCCAACCTACGTTGGGTCTGGGTTCAGGTCCAGCTCAGATCTTGTCTTGGTTCAACCCAACCGGTTATTTATTCATACAAATACGTATTAATAATATTAACCCGAGTCTGGGTTAAGTCTGAGTCCAACTTATCGATCCAGACCGAACCCAATCCTAGCCATAAATTTTTCTTACCGATCGGGCTCAACGGCTCCCTTGATCACAGCAAAAACATTATGAATCTTCATCTCCTTTAGCTCCCCCTGAAAATCACCCCAAAAAAGCCACTCTCTCACTAGAACAGTATATGCCACTTTCTCTCACTACAATACAATTTTGGTACGAAGTGTTCAAGAAAAATAAATAAACACAAAAGTATAGATAGCCCCCCGCCTTCCAAATCAACTTCCTACTCATGCGTACCCTCAATGTTTTTTATATAGTATCCTCACTATTTTTTTTTATATTTATTTTCAATAAAAAAAAAATCAATGAGTTTTGAAACAAAATTGTCATTTTTCTCTTTATTCCGTTTTTATCTCTCAACCTCTATCCACCCGTCCTCACTCTTTTTCTCTCTCCCTTGTTATTTCTCTTTCTAACCTCCTTCACTATTTCTCAAAAAAATTTCTGCCCCAGCAAGGAGTGTGCCGAACCACACAAATTCCAATAACGTCTTCCATGCCTATAATGTTGTTCAACACGTTTTTGTGCCAGGCTACAAAAAAAAATTCGGTCTCGCAAAAAGTGTGTCATACTGCATAAAAAAAATGGGGAGAGAGAGAGAGAGTAAGGGAGGTTAGAGAGTGAAAGAGAGACGGAAAAACAAGGGGAGGAAAGAAAGAGAGAGATAAAAAGAAAATATGAAAAAATGAAAAAAATACACTTTTGTCCCAAAACTTATCGACTTTGTTATTGGGATAAATATAATGAAAAATAGTGTTGAGGATTAAAGATACGATACAAAAAGTAGGGCAAGCTGTACATGCTTCTCCTAAAACGAAAACTTATATACGTCCCCTTGTCCAACCATCCATTTTGAATAGAAGGTTAAGATTGCCCCAATCACAATGTCATGTCTCTATACTATTTTATTTTTAAATTTTTTTTCCTATAAACTATTTTGAGACCAAATTTTGAACATCTAATCCTCTATTAAACTCGTACTAGTGAAAAATATAAAAAAATTATTTCTAATAAAATAAAATGACCAAAATACTCTTGAAAGTTTCAAGAGGTATTTTGATTATTATATTTTATCCAAAATTTATTTTTAAATATCTTTATAGGTGCGTCCCAATGAAAAGATGGCACGTGCCAAATTTCATATTCATACAATTTGCATAAAAAAATTAAAAATAAAATACTTTGAGACGTTGGATTTAAAATTGAACGATGAGCGGCTCTCTTGATCAAAATTGGACGGCTGAATGGTAAAAGAAGCATAAATCTTCGATGCTGAAAGGGAAGTATTGAAACTTTTCTCAAAAAAAACTATTAGGAGATAAGAGAAGTAGAAAGTTGATGTTGGAGGTATTTATAATTCTCGAAAAAACGAATGAGAGTGCCCTTGCCGACTTAGGAAAAGACAACAACTTCATGCCTCAACACTCGGAATTAATTACTTGCCTACGCCATTTCTCAAACGTACAAACGTCTCAAGAATGACATAATAATCCATTTTACTTGTTATCCAACTTCCTATGATCGACAATGTAAGGTTTGAAACCCTAATTTCCCTTATATTGTAAGATTAATACCAAAAAACTAAAAGCTTGGCTTCCTTTATCTTTGTTTATTATGCAAATGAAAAAGGAGTTCAACCTTTTGGTTCTAGGTAGGGCTAGCAAAGCTTAGAGTGGGTTAGCCTTGGCCCTAGCCTAGCACCGGCCCAACCCAATCTTGGCATTGGCCCAAGTTTGGCCCAGCTCTACCGTCGTGTTGTGATGGCCCGAACCTAGCTTGGCCCTTGGGCAACATCTTGTGGCCCATGCCCTTGTTTTTTTAGGACCGGGGTTGCCAGGCCAAGCTTGGTCTCGTAGCCCATTGCCACCACTAGTTAATAGGGTTTTCAAATATTGTTCAAAAAGTTAGACTTGCGCTCACCATGGGTTAGAGTCTAAGGACCCAATCCTACTGAGGACTGGAAATTTTTTACAACTTTTTATGACTCTTTTCAAAAAAATTAAGAGATTACAAATGCCATATAATCTAAAGAGTAATCTACGTATGGATACAAAAAAAACTACAAAAATACAAAAAAGGTCAATTTTGGGCAAAAATTACATGGAATATCAGTCAACGTGTATTTTTTTATTTTTTTTCAAAATTACCCTTAAGTCCGAGGATACCATCATAAGACTACGTTTTAATTATTATTTTTTAATTTTTTGTTAGTAGGGCTCACGTAGCTCAATCCAAAGAGCAGTGTCTGAGGTCCTCATCTTCAGACCGCTATAAAATTGAGCTCTACTAATGAAAAAATTAAATAAAAAATAAAAAGTAGTCTAAGAATGACATCCTCAAACCGAGAGGCAATTTTGAAAATTAAAAAAACATATATTGACCGACCTTCCGTGTAATTTTCGCCCAATATCGGCCCATTTAGTTTTTTTTTTTTTTGTATACATACCTAAATTACTCGGATCTAAATTGGCCACTATTCGAATGACTATATGAAACTAAGGCTTGTAGCCATTTTCAGTTTACAGAACACTACTTTTTAGATCCATCAATACTTAGCCTATTTGGTTTTTTCCAATTGGAATGTTATTGTTATTTATTCATATAAACCACTACAAATTTATGTGATTTGAGATATAAACTCCATTTCACTATTTCACTGCATCATAGGAGAGCAGGGTCCTTCTCACTAAAGGCACCTATGTACCTGTCGACCAAGCATCATATCCAAACTCCTAAGCCATCGCACCAAAAAAGTGTGATGTAATCTTTAGGGTTACATATCCTATCCATAATAAAAAATTTTTTTTGTTTTTGTTATACTCTAAACTCGAAATCTACTTTTCTTTGTATTTACTCCCAATCAAATAATCAAAGCATTTTGAAACCAAAATATTATTTTTTTTTCTTTTCTCTTTTTTCTATCTTTTTAGACATATGACCCTATGTTACTTTTTGCAGTCCGGCATATAAATTGTGTCAAATTGCAAAAAAAAATTTTCAATCCAGTACAAAATCGTGTCAGACCACATTATGGGCATGTGAGTGGTAGAGAGAGAAAGAATGAGAGAGGGTAAAGAGAGAAAGAGAGACAGAGAGAGAAAGTAAGGGAGGGTAGAGACTGAAAGAAAGATAGAGAGAGAAATGGGTGGAAAGAGAGAGAGAGAGGACAGGCGAGTGAGGGTTTCACATAGATAAATACAAAAAAGTATGCTAAAAAAATGAAGAGAGAAAAAAAGGCATTTTAACTACAAAATGGTTTGATTAATTTGATTGGGGTAAATACAAGAAAAAATAATATTGAGGTTTTGGTTTGATTATTTGATTAGGATAAATACAACAAAAAATAATATTGGGATTGAAAGTATGAGCAAGATTTCTATGAGAAGTAAGATACATAAAAAAAATTGAAATTAAGGGTATCTATAATTTTCCCTGATTAATAGTGAGATTTGTTCAGGCACAAGCAAACCCACAAGTGTTAGAGAGAGATTCAGGTACCCCACATAGAAAGCTAGAGAGAGAGAGATATATCCAGGTATTCCCCAACACACAGAAAGCTACTTCGCAATGAGTTTGAGGGTCATTAGACCCGGCCCAACCCTATAAGCATTCACATCATTTTGTGTGTTTGAGAGAGAGAGAGAGAGAGAGAGAGAGAGAGCACTACCACATCGACAAACGAAAACGTAAACTAACTAACTAATAATAAGGTAGGTAGGTTAGGGACGGGTACCGGACCCGGGACCCCGGACCCCGTA